GTCTGCAAAAAAAATTTTTAGCCTCGATTAAGTCTTATAAAGCTTTTAAGATTTTACTGTTAGTTGTTTTCTCGTGGTTGTTGGCCACACTTTATGTTTTTCCTTTATTTTTTGGGACTTTCATGCAATTAGTTAAGATGATTGACTTGCTTCAATACAATCAAGACTCTGCCAATATCCGAAATCTTCTAAGACTGATGGTGAAACATGAAGTGAACATTCAATAGATTTGACTATTTATTAATCTTGCAGTTCAGGTGTTTAAGTTCGGACAATTCGAATTGAAAAGTGGACAATTGTCTCCTATTTATATAGATCTTAGAGAATGTTTTGGTTATCCTGTTCTCATGGTATTCGTTACGCAATATCCATTAACCATTTAATTAGGAAGCTACCTCAAGCTGCTTGACATCGCTGATCAGACTAGTAGGCTCAGAATTCCAAGGAGTAGTTGGAGTACCTTATGCAGCTTTACCATACGCTACAGTAAACCTTTAAAGAGTACAGCAACTAATTTACTTCCAATCAGATTGTATCGCAAAATTTGAAACAGTCACTGATAATTATCAGAAAGGAAGCCAAATCGTACGGAACTAAGAAGCTTATCGAAGGTCTTATCTTCTCATTATTTTCAACATTTGTTTTATAGGAAAGTATGAGAACGGTCAGAAGGTCATAATTATTGAAGATGTAGTTACAACAGGTGGCAGTATCATAGAGGTGAGAGTTTGAGAAACATTTGTAATCTATATTTACAGGTAATAAACACCCTGCGAGCCGATGGTCTTATTGTAGAAGATGTTTTCTGTCTACTTGATCGTGAACAAGGAGGAAGAAAAAAACTCAAAGATCATGGAATCAATCTTCACAGGTTTAAACTTTTTTTTATAGTTTATAAGAGCGGTTGCAGTTTATTGAACATGCAGAACATTCTTTCGTTTTTGATATCAGCTGAAAGAATAACATCTGAAGTTTGCCTTGAAATCATTCAGGTAATCGGTCTATGCCACTCTGAATAGCCTTTAATTTCAGAAACTAAATTTATCATTCAGTCTTCCTTCTTCTTTTCCAGTAACGTTGGACCTCGAAGATGTATCTCGCTTCCCAATAAATCATCAGGTAGAATAAATAGTTACTGTTTTAACAAAAAACCAAGTATACTCATTCTCAGAAAAGAGATGCTTTGAATGTTCGATCTTCGTTGGTTGAATCTGATATCAACAAGAAAATCATCAATCTCATGATCAGGAAAGAAAGCAACATTTGCTTAGCTATTGACTATACTGAATCTAATAAAATTCTTGAGGTTGAATTTTACTGATTCTACTGTTGTTATTTCATTTGCTGTCATTTTAGCTAGTTAACAAGGTTGGGCAGCATGTAATTGCAATTAAAATCCACTCTGATATAATTACGGACTTCAGTATAGAGTTCACTGAAAAACTTGTTAACTTATCTCAGGATATGGACTTTCTCATTTTAGAAGACAGGTACTAATGTTATTCACATGTAGAGAAAATGTTTTTTTAGAAAGTTCGCTGATATTGGAAATACTAACTTGTTACAATTTAATGGTTTGCTGAAGATATCGGAATGGGCTGATCTCATCACTGTGCATGGTATACAAGGTGTGGATAGTGTAGCTGGGGTATTCAGAGAGGTCAGATAGTTACTCCAATTTGTTATTCGATTTTGCTCGATCAGGTTGTAAAGAATCCCGACTGCAGATTGAAAGGAATTCTTCTCATTGCACAACTTAGTTGCACTGGCAACTTAACTAAACTGAAAGGTTATACTGAAGGTTCTTAATGTTTTTTTGTGGCAGGTTAACTGTAATGTTCAGAAGTTGTAAGCTTAGCTTCAGACAACAAAGATGTTGTTTGTGGCTTCATCTGTCAAACTCGCGTCAGTAAAGAGAATCATTTTTTGAATTGGACTCCTGGTACTCAAAATGGGACTGACTTAGTAACATTTTTGTTTAGGTGTCAATATAGAAGCTAAAACTGATGGTTCTGGGCAACAATGGAGATCTGTTGATGAAGTTTCATTAAATGATAGAAATGATATATCCCACTCTTTCCAGGCGGTTAGTGATCAGGGGAATGACATTATAATCGTTGGCAGAGGGGTCACAAGTTCAACCGACCCTGTGGAGAAAGTGAAAAATTACAAAGTCGCTGGTTGGACCTCGTTATACCGATAATCTCGCACACTCCTCTGCATTCGAAGAAAGCGTCAGATATGTTTTTCACTTTTTTTATAATATTGTCATGATATCCATGTTGTTCTATTGAAGTAGTGGCTCATTTCATGCAGAATTGAATTATATCTTTTTTTTTAATTACTGTTCAAAAGTTGTTCGATTAAGTTTCATCTTATTTTATACTTCATATCTCATCGAGGTTCACGTGGAGTACGTGTTTTATCCGATCTTTAAAGTACCCGAGGCA